TATACAAAATTATATTCTTTTTATTAGTCCAGTATTTGCTGAGTATATATAAAAAAAAAAAGAAAAAAAATGTACTCGTTAAATAAATAAAAGAAACAGAAACCAATTACAAAATGTAACCGCTTGATATTCAGATTAAAGAGTATACAATATACAATATAATGTACAGCAAATGAGAGACTACCAGAATACAACAACAAATATGTGTAGAGAATGATAAAAAGCGAACTGTCTCGACACAGTGCCGGACAAATTAACTATTAGAACTTAATTAGATAGTTGTCGAACTTAGCAGAGGACACATTGATGAAATTCGGTGGAACGGGGCAAATGATTGATGACAAAACTATGCTATACACAAACATACAACACGAACTAACTAACAATTTTTATATAAAAACCGAGCTAAGGGTTAACTAGATAATATGTGAATGTTTATTTTGATGCATTGATCAGTTCTGTTTCGATTAATGGAAGGACTTGGCTCGTATAATGCTGTCATTGATTGACTGATTGACTGATTGATAATTGCTGATAAAGCACATTGTTCACAAATCAGATGATAAACACATTGTATATGAGTCGAAAGATGTGGTTAGGCAAGCGTTAGCCTATATATCACATACATTTAAAGGTTTTTTTTCTTTGGGAAAGTAGTAGAAAGTGTGCGCTACATGTGTGTTGTGTTGTGTGTGTGTGTGTGTGTGTGTGTAGAACTATGCACTACTGATGGATTGAATGATCGTATAGCTATATACATATACATGTATTATGCATAAGAGAACTTATGCATATACATATATAATTAGTACGTTCTTTAGATTGCTTTTTATACATGCATTTTTTGTTTTTGTTCTGAGGTTCTTTTGATGTTACTCTCTCTCTCTCTCTCCTGTTTTTTTTTTTTTTTTTTTACATATATATATAAATCGAGGCTACTCTTTGATTTTCAAGTTTTTGATGAGTTTTTTTTTTTTTTTTTTTTTTTTTGTTAAATTGATTGATTGATTGCTTGGTTGGTTGGTTGGTTGATTGGTTGGTTTGGTTGAGTGGTTGGTTCATTACTTTCTTTTTCAGATTGGCTGCCCCCAATACACAATTGCTTCACGATTTTTTTCAGCATATTCTCATAATAATCATAATAATAATATTGGTAATAATAATGGTTTCTTTTGTTTTTTGTTTTTCTTTTTTTAATGTTTTGTTTTTTTTTTTAGTTTTTAGATTTTTCAAGACTTAAAAATTAGTAGAGCTTGCATACGTAAGCTTCTATTTCATGAACTTTCTTTGCGTTTCTTTAAGATAAACTTGTTGTTCAACTTTTCAACTTGTTTTTCTTCTCTGTTTTGTGTTTGTTCTTGAATTTGTATATATATGTATATATACACAGATATATATACATATATATATATATATATTAAAGAGTTGCTGTATGTTCAGACACACACAAATACATACATATATATACATATATACATATATATATATATATATATATATATACATGTGCATGTGTATTTATATAAACAAGATTTGTTTTTTTGTTGTTTTACTTTCGTTTTTCATTTAAAAATACAATTCGTTAATACCTAAGAAATGCTTAAATACAATATCTATATGCATATACATATAAAATAAAGTATATATATATATATATATATAGAAATATATATATATATATATACGTATAACTAGACCTAAATAGTATTTATATGTATTTATATAAATATGTATATATATATCTATATATATGTATGTGTATCTCGAAAGATATCAATTTTGCAGCTGTATGTGTGAGTGTACATCTGTGTGTGTGTGTGTCTGTGTGTGTGTGTGTGTGTATGTCTCTGTTTGTGGGTTGAAATAAATTAAAACATTTTGTAACCAAACTGTTAGCCAGGAATTTTGCATTAACGCTGCCATTTTTCAGCTCATAACCTCAAAAAAAAAAAAATCCTTTAATAAATTTACGAACAAATAGAAAAAAACGGCCGCAGCAACAATTTGTTTAACAAATTGAAATGCTGCTTAAATGACTTCGCTGACTTTTGGAAATGAATTATTTACTCAATTATTTACGTGGAAATATGCAATCAGATTTGAGGCTTGGAAAAAAATATGAAGCGTTTTATCTTTTAGTTAAAAATATATATATATACAAATATATATATATATATATATATTTGAGCAAACGCATATTGCACTTTGTCGTGAACTTTGTTCTGGGCATCCAAAAAAACACAAAAAAAAAAGGTTTTGAATATGGAGAAAAAAAATGGTTTAATTAGGTTTTTGTGGTCTGGTCACACACAGAAAATGGCAGCAAAAGGATGGACTGAAGTGTGGGAATGGGGGGAGGGGCTGGGGGGTTGGCTAACTGGCTCAGCAGCAGCACACACATACAACTGCACACACACACGCATGCTTTAATCCACGTAACTTGGCAACGCGCGCGTGTGTGTGTGTGTGTGCGCGTAACTAGTGTCTGCATGTGTATATTGTGTGTGGGTTAGGTTGTGTACGTGTGTGTGTGTGTGTAAAAGTGTTAATTAATTTTCATATGTGTACAAAAAACATACAACAAAACAACACTGCTCGCTCCTAGGCGCGATCTGGCTCACGATTCACTCACGCGCTCGCTCTCTATCTATCGCTCGCTCTACCTATCTCTCTCTCTCGATCGCTCGCTCGCTCTCTCCTCTCTCTGTCTCATCCATTCACAAGCTACACGCTCAGCTTTGTATTAGATGCTTAAAACTCTTAATTTTTTTATCTAGACCTTAGCAAAAAAATAAGTATCAACTAAAATAAACACAATGTATGCCTAAATATATATTTGAATATATATATATATATATTTATAACTTTATACATATGTATAATGTATTTATATGCCTAACGAGAATTTAATTAAGCCAAAAAAAAGGTTACTAAGCTTTAAACTCTGTTCAATTCGTTCGCTTTCCCATTATACAATTCTCCTGAATCATTAATTTGTTAATTATGCATAATATATATATTAAATAGTTGAATTTATATATATTTTTATATAATGTGTGTGTGTGTGTGTGTGTGTGTATGTGTGTGTGTTGCCCAAACGCTTTATAACACTGTCTACAGGCTAACGCGCTCTCCCTCTACCTCTACCTCTCCCTCTCTCTCTCTTTCTCTTTCATATCAGATTACACTCTCTCATCTTTAAGCTAATTTCTGTTCATTTACTCTCGATGTGTGCATGTGTGTTAGTGTGTGTGTGTGTGTGTGTGTGTGTGTGCGTGTGCGTGTGCCCCTCCACTTTGTTCCGTTACGTTTCGTACTGTTCTTTTATTTCCTTTCTTTTAGCGAGCTTGGCTTACAGAGAACTTTGGACTTACAACTGATTTCTTTTCATAATAGAATTTATTTGTTTCGACTAACTTTTTCAGCTTAATTTTAAAAAATTATCATAATCAAATTCAATGATAAGCATAATAATATAAACATAATCGTATTAAAAAAAATTAAAAAAAAAAAAAATAAAATAAAATAATTGTTGTTTGTAAATATGATAAATGTAGTTGTTGTTGTTTTTAGTTTGTTACACATATATGTAATACATATACGCGTATGTGTGTGTGTGTGTGAGTGTGTATTCTGTATTGTGTGTGTGTGTGTGTGTATCTTTTTGTGAGTTGCTTTTCTTTTCTTTTTTCTTTCCGCTTTTGCAATCAATTAAGCATTTCGTTTCATATATAGATATATGTATATATATATATATAAATTTTTTTTTGGGGGTCTTATATAAAAAAAAAAAAAAAAACAAACAAACAAACAAACAAAACGCGTCCTAACCTGCTTCACTGTCGCTCGAGTCACTCGAACTGCTATCACTCGAACTCGAGGACGATGAATCGCTGGAACTTGAACTAGACGACACAGGATTCGCTGGCTGGACAGCCTCCACTTTGCTCGACGTGGTCTCATCTGCCAAACAAGAGAGAATAAAGTGTGAATCAATCAATTGTGAAATCCATGCATAATGATAATGATATTTAAGATATACATAGCCGTGTTGTGCTTACCTTTCTTGGCTGTTTTCTTGCTAGCGCCCAATTGGCCAGTTACATCCTGTAACCGTTTCTCCAGTTCCTGTTTCTTTTCGGCCATTTGCTCGTCCTTTGATTTACCGGAAGGCTTTTTATCTGCAAAAAGTGAAATTTGGTAAAGTTTTTTAAATAACCGTGTCAAAACATTTGACAGCTCAACACTGAAGCTCTCCCTCTCTACTTTCGTTCTTTCTCTCGCTCGCTCTTGCTCTCTGTCTCTCAATGCGGTTAGTGAAGTGATTATTTAGTCAAGAGCGAGAGAGAGAGAGAGATAGCAATAGTTGCAGAGCGACTGCGAGAGGCAGCGAGAGAGACAGACAGACCGTGAGAGAGAGAGAGAGAGAGACTCAGTATAGAAGTAACAGTATTTTAAGAGCTCAACAATGAGAATTGATCGAAAATTAGAAAAGAGATCAGAAAATACAGTAATGCATGCTTTGAAGCGATTTTTTTTCTTCTTTTTTTTTTTTTTTTTTTTTTGGTTTTGTTTGTTGTTTTTATATGGAACAATCATCCGTTTCAATCAGTCAATCAATCAATCAAACACAAAAATACAAGAGTTCTAGGCGCATGCAATGTTATTAATATGCTTTATATAAATAAATATATATATATATTTTTTTTTTTGGGCTACTTTGAACAAACATTCCAATAATTTAATATAACCCTTGCAGCCGATTTTCTTTATTCATATCAACATCTATGCCTCGATCTTTTTTTTTTTTAATTCATATTCCATAGCTTCCATGAAACCTATCGGCATTTCTTTAACTTTCTTCATATAATTGAAACAATAATTGAAAATTACTTTCAAATATCGGACTACTTGGTCTGAAGAAAATGAAGTCTTTGAAGTATTCTAAACTTATCTGCTTGAAAATCAACTGGTTCGTATGTAATTTAGGCAAAAACTTATTGGCTATCGGACCAATATAACATTTAGTTTGAAATCCGAAGGATCGATGGATAATTGAGTTGTTCTATGAACAACTTTTGTTGGTTTTTTCAAATGAGCCAACATTCTTCAACATAAGACTCTTGATATATACAATAATAATATTCTATCTATTTATCTTCAAGATAATCTACCCAAATAAACTCAACTTAACTGCAAGGGTATATTTGATCTTCGGTAGTCCGAGGATAAATGATTTCTTGGTACTTTTTAGACACTTAGAAAGTGGTAAGAAAATTTGCAAGAAATGTATGGAGAAAAAACGTTATTAAAAAAATTAATTTTAAAAAAGAGCTGGAAACTTGATTAATTCTATGGGTATTTCTTTTTAGTTTTTTTTTTTTGTTTTTTTTTTGAGAGTTTAGCTAACTAAACATGTGACCACTAAATTAACTTGCACAAACTCAATAAATTGTGCGCATTGTTCTTGTTCTTGTTCTTGATTTTGGGTTTTTCATTTTTGTTGTTGTTGTTGTTGGAAAATTTGGAAAATTCTTGTAGCTTTGCTATTGTTTTCATTGTTTTTAGCTTGGATTGAATATAAAAATGTTCGGGACCAAACAAAAGTCTCAAATGCAAACAGCAAAACGCAACGCCACCCAACAAAATGATTTGCATTATATTATTTTTATAAATACAATAAACAATTTTTATAAATTTTTTAGCTTTGCTTCTAGTTGTTGTTGCAGTTGTTGTTGCAGTTGCAGTTGTTGTTGTTGCTGTTGTTCTTGTTGTTGTTGTTCTTGTTGTTGTTGTTCTTGTTGTTGTTGTTGTTTGTGGTCTCGGTTTAGTTACAAACTTACAATATGGCTTACGTGTTTTTTTGCGCAAACACGACGCCACATAGCTTTCTAGCTCGCGCAGCGTCGACGGCTTCAGTGTCTCGAAATCGATCTCAATCTCATCCGGATTCGAGTCGCGCAGCGATGGCTCCCGATTTTGTATAATATGAACCACACGTCCCAGTTTATCGCCTAGACACACAGAGAGAAAGAGAGAGAGAGAGAGATGAATATGTGTATGCCATGTATCAAGATCGAGCATTATTATCATCCATCAAGTTCTCCTGAAATAACCTCAAACTATTTCCCTCATGGAGCTTCCAATCCTCTTTAACTAGAAAACTATCACGTTTATTAAAGCTATCCAAACTATATAGTGTATATATCATCTTTTAGCTAATCAACATCTTTTCTATTTCATATTTTCTATGTTATAGGATCGATCTTTTCTATCTATCTATCTATCTATATATATATTTCTATTAAAGCTCATATAAAACAATTTAGATGATAATCAATTGAATTTGTCTATGGCAAATTGTAGGCATTGTAACGTGAAACTGGGCACACTTTCTTATCGTCGCTTTACACTTAAAATTCGCAACCAGTTCAAGCAACGGACAATTCTAGACTCGTTATCAAAGTTTGTTGACTGAACCAAAAGGTTTTTCGACATCCTTTATTTGATTCTTTATCAACCGATATCTGTCTATGTATATAGAGGTTTTTTTTCATATAAGGTTTATCTGGCTAGTTGTGTGTGTCCCCTGTGCTACATTTTCCGTAAACATTTCCTGCTTTTTGGACAGCCTTCTATTAGGATATGCCTGACAAGTTTGAACCAAAAAGCGCTACGTAATTTTGCATATGATCACCACCTCGTCAATTGCTTGGGACAACAACTATTTTCTATTTGTTTTGTTTTTTATTAATTTAAGAGCAAGTTTCGGGCAAAATCTAGCGTACTTGGGCTTTATTAAGATACATAAGATTCCGGTTCAAATATGGCTAAATAAATATAGATCGCACAATCCATCGATTAGATGATCATCTTGATCTTCAAGCTATCCCCAAATCTAGAATTGATGGCAATTCAGGTGAACTTATCTATAGCATGGTTAATCATATTGATTAACCAAATCTCGTGTTTAGGGCGCGAGTTATTTGAGGCGAAGGTATTTGAATGCGACTCACCTGGCAATTTGTTAATGTCAAGGGAGAGCTGTCGCTTTTCATCGTAAGACATGGGCTTGGCGGTGTCCTCCTCCTCGGAATCGAAGTTCATCACCTGGCTGGGCTTCTTTTTGCTGCTGCCGCGAGCAGCGGCACCACCGCCGGCATTGGCGCCAGCAGCTCCAGCTCCAGCGCCGACATTGCTGCTGCCCTTGGTGCGTTTCGCATTGCTGGCACCGCTGCCAGCACCGCCGCCGCCGATGCCGCCGCCGCCACCACCACCACCACCGCCTCCAGCGCCACCGGACGCAGCACCTGGTCCAATACCGGCTGCACCAGCAGCCGCACCGCCCGCTGCACTACCGGCAGCAACGCCCGCGCCGCCCTTGGCGCCGCGCTGTCCCTTGACCTTAGCACCTTTACTGCCACCGCTGCCGCTGCCGGCGCCGCCGCCGCCAGCACCGCCGGCACCGGCAGCCGCACCGGCTGCCAAAGCGCCAGCCAATGCACCGGCTGCCGCCTTGCCACCGCCAGTTGGAACGCCCGCTGCATTCACGGCGGCTGCATAGCCCGCTCCAGCGGCGGCATTGCCGTCCGTCAGCTGCCTCATCGCCAGGGCCATGTCGTGGACATGCTGTAGCGTTGCCGCGCCGGGCACGCCGCCAGCGACGCCGGCAGCACCGGCGCCCACCAGCGAGCCGCTCAACAGCGCCGACAAATTGGCGCTGGCTGCGCCGCCAGCATTGAGTGCGGCCACATTGGCGGCCATTTGGACGCCGCCGTGTGTGGCATTGCTGGCGCTGGGTGCGTGCTGATGATGGGCACCGCCACCGCCGCCACCGCCACCACCACCGCCGCCGCCGCCACCGCTGCCGCCGCCGGCGCCGCTGCCGCTGCTCGGTCCGAGTGACTTCTTTTTCTCTTTGAGTTTTTTCTTGGCCTTCTTTTTGGCGGACGCCTCCTCGACGAGCTTGCGTATCTCCTCCTGCAGTCCCAACAGCTTCGATTCGAGCATTTTTAGCTTGGCGCTGCGCTCCTCATCCGAATTGGACTCGTTCTCGGTATCGCTGGAATCCTCGCTAGATGAATCGCTCGCATCGTGCTTTGATGTACTCGAATAACCATGATGATGATGGGCCGCATTCGCAACCGGCTCGTCGGGTATATTCGCGTAGCGCATCTCGAAGACATCTTGAAGCTTTCGGCCCATGGCGACAACATCATGATCTGGCGGATTGTATTTGTAGCAGTTGGTGAATATTAATCGAACATCGGCCGCAAATTCCGGCGCGCTCTTATATTCGCGATTGTCCATTTTACGCTTAACGGTGCCCAAATCCATTGGCTTCTTGATGATATCGTGATAGTCGTGCAGGCCCAAGAGTTCAGCGTCGACCGGTTTGTAGAAGGGCCAGGCATAGCCGGAGTGCTTCTTTGAGAACAGCTCCTTGAGTATCTCATTGCATGACTTCAGTGCATCCGATAGTTTCTCCTTGGACTTGGCACCCGGTACGCCCCCAACGGCGCCGCCGGCAACCAGACCAGGCACACCAGCGACACCCAATGGTGACATTGGATAGCCCGAGCCCTGGAATGTAAGATCCTGGTTTTTTTCAAATCGATCGATTGTCAATTTTTCGATTGTTCGTTTGTTCGATTGTTCGATTTTTCGATTGTTCGATTGTTTAATTTTTCGATTGTTCGATTGGTGCGTGATGTGTGTGCAATGACAATATAACGATAACGATGATCAAAACGAATTTTATCAAATCAAAAAAAGAGAAAAGAAGAAAACAAAGCGGCAATGGGTTAGAGCGTTCAAAAATTCAAATAAGTACAATTATGGTTTATCGATTTGTCAGTTGCGATATACAAGTACAAATATACACAAATATACACATATAAATACATACACACATATATGTATATACATATATACAGATATATAGATATAGTATGGTTTGGCATATTTCGAGCTGAATAACAATATTAAGTTACGTTAATCGGTGAACAACAATCATGTATTATGTGCACCAAGTATTTACTGCTGCGTATATATCGATAACAATGCGATATCGATATACATTGATCGAACAATCGTTTTCAGCTCCAATACGCATAGTCGCGATGATCTCAAATCATAAGTGTAAAAGGCAAAGGCAGCGTTTAATACATGAGCTTGTACTTATTTCTGTTGTGTTGTCTGTTGTGCTGGGTTTATTAGTGAAGTATAATTGTGTGTGTGCGTGCGTGCGTGTATGTGTCTGTGTGTGTGTGCTGCGTGTGTGTGTTTTTGTGTGCATTAAAGTCGCTGAGGTAGAAGAATCTGCGCCAGCGAGCTGCATTTGTTCTACTTAAGCTAAGTCATCTGAATTAATGTGTTCTTAAAATAAATGACTTCCCTTATTCCCTAAACATGTTTTTGCTTTACTGAAATGCCAATAAAGCAGTTGAATTAACTATTAACGCATCTCAAAACCCTTCTGAGCAGGAACCTACATATAACAATTGTCTCGAAATGCGAATAACTCAAATAGCCAACTATTTTATTTTTCCCCCATTTCCTGCTATGCACTCAATTGTAATCTCGACGGATAGAAACGAATGTTCTAGTTTTTGATATTAGTGTCAAATGTGATTGTTATATTTTCGTTCAAATTTTAAATTCAGTTCTTTGAAAAGTCTCAAAAATTGAAACTCATTTTATGACGGGCATAAATTTTGATATTCTTCTATAAAACGTTATCTGCAAATGCAACAAAAATATATGTATGTATATCAGCACTCGAGGGAGCCTAGTGTTAAGGTGTATTAGAGGTATTTAATAAACATACACACACATATATATATGTATATACATTTAAAACTTTAAACGAGCTGCATGGCCCGCTCCACACTCGTTCACATAGAGAAATCGGGAGTTTATCCGTTTCTCTGAAGGCATTTGGGAGCTTACAAATTGGTCTTTATTAAGTTTTAACCACAATTTTAACTTCCACATGAGTCAAATGAAGATGAGCTAATGAACTCGTTGGGGGGGGGGGTTCGATCTACCGAAAAATATATATGTATGTATTTCAATTTGGGATCACTCTGAACGAGTGAGCGAGTATTCGGCAGTCGGTTGCATCCGACTGCACACACACACACACACATTCTTGCTAGTTAGTCTTGAGGGGCTGTGAGTGGGGGCGGTTGTATATTTGATGCCAAGCTGTGAGTGTGTGGGCTATATACATTTGTGTACTAATATTAAGTACATACGAACACACATAGATACACACACACACACAGATACACACACACACACACACAGAGGCACATGCGTAAGCAAAGCCACACACAATTTAGACAAGGTTTTATTTCGTTTGGTTGTTGTTATAAAGAAACGCGTCTGACTATTGCCTCTTACCTTTTTGCCAATTACCTGACGATTCGATTCCCGCCGCGTCGCTATTTTGGCCGCTTTGGAGTCCATTTGGGCGTAGGGCGATTCGAATGCGTTCGCCGTGGGCGTTGTCGTGTCCGCCTTCCGTTTGACGCCCTTCTTCATTTTGGCCGGCTGCTGTGGCGGTATGACAGCGTCGACAACACCGACACCGACGCCCGCCGTACTGTTCACATAGGCCTGTACCGCATTGGCGGCATTAACGGCAGCCGTTGGTATTGTTACGCCGCCGGCGTTGTCTAAAGCGGCTGCTGCCACAGCGGCCGCAGCTGCCGCTTGGGCTTGGGCAACCGCCGCTGCCGCCGCATTGCCGTCGAGCAGGGAGCTGTTGTTGAGCGATGTCTGTTGGCCGCCAACGCCATAGCTGGCGGCGCCGCTTTGCGCAGGATTCAAAAGGCTGGCCATTGCCGCATTTAGTGCAGCCGCATTTGTTGCGCCGGGACCACCCGCCGCCGCCGCCGCTGCTGCTGCTGCCGCTGCCATTGCAGTGGTCGTTGTATTCGTGCTGCCCGGCACCGTATGCGGCGGCATTGTGCTAATCGGTGGTATGGACGGTGTAACGCCTCCGGCCGTTGATGAAACCGTACCGCCCATGGCGGAAACTGGTCGGGCGTTTGCTGCCGCTGCTGCTGCTGCCGCTGCTGCTGCTGCTGCCGCCGCTGCTGCTGCTGCTTGTGCTTGTGCTTGCGCTTGCGCTGATGTTGGCGTTGATACCGCTGACGCTGATTGTGACAGTCCCATGGTCGGCAGCTGTGAGGATTGTGCCGCCTTACCGCCAGCTGTTGGTGTACTTGTCGCTGAGGCTGTTGTCGCATTGCTGCTGCTGCCAACACCAGCACCAGCGCCGCCGGCGGAGAGTCCACTGACGCTGCTGTTGGTCGCTTTGGGTGTGGTCGGTGCACGCTGTTTCTTTTTGCCACCCTTTGCCGTAACGGGCTCCAGTTCGAGCTCCTCCTTGGGCATCGATTCGATTTTCTGTAGAAATACCTTCTCAAGCGTTTGGGCCATTACAACAACATCCTCGCCGGGCTTGTTATATACATAACAGTTGGTGAACATTGTATTAAAATCGTGTATGGCCTCCTTGGCCGACCAATAGTAATTGTTCTCCAAACGCTTCTTAATCGTACCCATATCCATTGGCTGTTTGATAATCTTATGATAGTCGGGCAGGTTCAGTTTCTTGGCATCGACGGGCTGTTGAAATGGCCAAGAGAAATGATGCTTCCATATGACCTTCATCACGGTTTTAATCAAATATTGCAATTGATTTGTATTGCGTCCCGGTCGCTCCTGTGGCGGCACAACCGGTGGCTGTACAATACCATTGATGGGCTCCACAGCGGGCTCATAACGTGGCGGTGGTTCGTTGGATGACATTGTTATTCTTATGTTTCTTCTGCTGCTGCTGCTGCTGCTGATGCTTGTTTAATGTATTAAATCAATCAGCTTATTGTGCTGCTATTGTTATTGTTGCTCTCCTCAAGTTGACTGAGACGGCCGACGCACACACACCACAACGCACACACGCCCGGGGCCGTCTCGTCCTGCTCTCGCGTCCTGTTTTGTACGCCCCGCTGCTCAAAGCAGCCAACGATGCACTGATCGACTGCAGCTCCTTCTGCTGTTGCGTGTGCAACCTCTACTCCCCCTATTGCTTCTGTTACTGTTACTGCTACTGCTACTTCTACTGCTACTGCTGTTCCTGTTCCTGTTCCTGCTACAATTGCTGCGGATCTGCTTCAATCTTTTGACGGCTATTGCTGCTGCTGCTATTGCTGCTGCTGCTGCTGCTTCTTCGACGGCTGCTGTTGGCTTTTGTTTCCGTTGCATGCTCAGCAAATTGTTGTCAACTAAGGGATTAAAGATTCAGATTAGCCAAATATATTTGTCAAACGAATTCAAATTCAATTCCACTATTTACCACCACTTGCCGGTGTCTTGGCGCGGCTCCTCCAGATGTCAGTTTAATGTTGCTGTTTCGCATTCAGTTCAGTTGGCATATTGCTGGCCAAATTTCTATGTTTGCAGCTGCAATCTTATTGTTTATTTATTTATTTGTATAGTTTATCTTTCAGTTTGTAGGTAGTTTTATTGGTCGGGTCGTCGCTCTGCCAAACAGCGATACTGCAAATGGAGTAAGCAAAATATAAAGTTAGTTCAAATTGATTTCAGTAGTATTAAATCTCGAGTATAGCGTATAAATGAAAATGGATTTCGAAAATTCGATTGATAATCAATAATACAAAATATCTGCAGTTGAAAAGTTAAGCAAAAATGTAAACACATTATTTGATTTTGATTCGGATTCTTTAATACCGGCCGGTTCTTAGAATCAGTTATTGGAATACACGCACACACACACGCACACACACACGCACGCACACACACACGTGCATGCATGTAACCGTGGCAGAGCGCGAAAATGAAATTTTGGTTTTCATTACATAAACAACAAAATGCCATACGATAAGCAGTTAAAATAAACAAAATACAAACACAAATGCACATACGCGCAGGCACACACATCCGTCAGCATTGCTGCACACACACACACACACAAGCGCGATAATTCTCCCGCGTTCGGCGAATGCGAAAATGCAACAAACACTCGAAGCAAAGTCAAAATAATATAAATACAAAAACAGAATTTTTTGGTTTTTGCTTTTTTTCTTTAACAATTTTCTTTTGAAACATACACACAGACACACACACACACGCTGCTGCTGGTGCTGCTGCAGCTGCTGTTGCTTCTTCTTTGGGTTTTTTCTATTACGCTTTGGCTTGGCCTTTATTTTTCTTTTTGTTTTTTCGTATCTGTGCGTGTGTTTTTTTTTCTTTTTGTGTGTGTGTCAGTTACTTTGCCGCCGTTTTGGCACTCACGGCAACAGCGCGAACAGCACTAGTCGAAAAGAGCGGCGAGACAACTTTCGAAATTCGAAAATGACAGACAGACAGACAGACAGAGAGAGAGAGAGAGAGGGAGAGAGAGCGTCACACACACACGAGACGCAATATGCTCATATCGAGCTGTCCCGTTTGCACACATGTCTGGCTTTGAAATGGTGCTGAGCAGCGCAATAAATTACAAATAGTTTTAGATACAAAATTCAAAAACATCATCTACTTTTGAATATATTTTGCTATTAGAATGTTATAAAACATTATAAAATCAGTGAGCGCCGATTTAACACAGCCAGGTGAAAAATTAACGAAGAACGCGCACGCATACATATGTATGCAACATATGCCTGTGTATTGGTGTTGATGGCAGAAATTCACCACACCGCCAACTTAACTTGGTTATGTTCCGTTCCAACAGTAACAGGCAACATGATTCATGCAAAATAAAGTCTCTTTGTTTGTTGTTGATGCACTTTACAAGCACACACACACACGCATAAACAAGCAAATGAAAATAAAAAGGCATACGTAATTTTGGTCCTAACACCCTCACCATCAATTCAGACGATATTGGTGAGCAGCAAAAAACCAATGGGCTCTGACGGCCGCCACAAACAACAGGCGCACACAAGCACGCGACACACACACACATACACAAACAATCTCACACCACGCAAAGTTCTCTCCCACAGTGTGTTGGCTGCACAGTGGTTTCGCGCTCACATAAATGCCATCCAAAGTGTAAACAATGGAGCCCAAAATATTATTGCAGCTCGTCAGATTACCACGCATATATATATATATATATATATATAAATACATTTATTTAAATATATATATGTAACTACATACACACACACTCATCCATGTGTCTATATGTATGGACATATATTAGCACTAACTGTATTTACATATTGTATATGCCGGCCGGCAAATATGTATTTCAGATTTTGCTTTCACTTTGAAACTCATTTTTGTTACATACAGACATATATGGATACACATGTATGCACACAAATAAATAAATCACGTAAAATATTCAATTTAAACCACTGTAGACATGACTGCTATGTGTGCATTTCGTACTCTCCACTGCTGACTGTAAATTTGCGGTTACGGTTTGTTGCCGACCGCTAAAAAAATTCAGTGACGAAATTAAAATCGGAAGAACTTCGAAAAAAAAACCGACAGTAAGTCAACAAATGACGTAGTCATTACGCTCGTCGGGAGCGCCGATTGAATATTTTTATAACGCGCAATTATTTGTATTATTTAAAAACAAAAGGGAACGAAAGAAAACATACGCCAACGCGAACTGCAGCAGCAGATTCCACTCCCTCTCTCTCTCTCTTCTGCTTTCCACTCTCTCGCTTATTCTCACAACAAAACAAAACATTAACTGGCAACACACACTCATACACATATACATGGACACCAAACGTGCTGATGTCCGCTGCGCTGTTGTAATTATGTAGTACAGTAGACGACTTTGAGTTTTCAACAAAAATTTTACGTAGAACGCAACAACAACAACAGCAGCAGCAACGTAGCGCGAACGTGTGCTCGGCTCGCACTTCGTGTTGAGAGCGGCGCGAGCGTACGTTCGTCTTGCTTCGTGTTTGCATTTGTGTATGTAACGGACCGCGCCATACAATACACGATATATATATATATATATATATATATGTGTGTGTATGCTTATGTGTGTACGTGTGAATATGAATTCAAGGCAAACACGATGACGTCTAGCTAGAAGAAGAAGAAAAGCAACAGCAGCAGTGGAGCAGCAATGGCATGCATTTAACACTGTGGGCGGGTGATGGGGGCGGTCGGTCGGCATGAAAAAAATTTCGACAATTAACGCGGCTAACAGATCAATTAAATATATATATGCTAAGCTATGTATCGAAATTAATTTTGTTCAGACAAAGAAAAAGAGAAAATCACGTTGCAAAGTTCGTTTATCAACAAAGGTCAACAACAGTTTTCGTCAATTTTTGCAAAATGTGCTCTAAAAATACATGATTCTCTCTGTGTGGACGATATGTACATACTAAAGTTTCATTCAAACTCAAGCAGCACACACACATCCATTATTTGTTATTTATTTAATTTTTTTTGTTGTATTTTTGCCTGCATGCACTTGAACTACGCGCAAAAACAAAATTTATTTAAATAAATAATATACAAGTGATCCACACACACACACGCACACACACAAATCATACATCGCACAGTGTCGTGACTGAGCACTTGGGGCCAAATGCATGAGTTAGAGTGAGACAACAATTCGCTACGTAATATATATTCGAAATGCAAATATGGCGGCAGCGGCACGAGACACAAGCCCCAGCAACGACCAAAGAGAGCGAGAGAGTGGGTTCTGCGTTTGTATATGTCACAGTATATGAGCGAGCGCGAGGCTCTCGTCTGCTTTTGATGCCAGAGTTCGAAAGTGAAAAAAGGCTGGCGGCGGCAACTGTTGTTGTTTTTGTTGTCGTTGCTGCTGCTGCTATTGTTTGCTGTTTCGATGTATCTGCAAGTATGTGCCGACTACCGTAACGATACGGAGCGACTACGTCACGAACGTACAAATGTCGAATCGAATGTCGCGCCGAAGAGCGCGGAATGTTGACTGCCTGCCTGCCTGCCTGCGCGCCTCTAGGTTAATAAATCGTGCTAATAGTGGCACGAATTTAAAGCCGGTTTACATGCAGCAGCAGCAGCTGCAGTCGCCGTCGCCGTCGCAGTCGATGTTGACAGCAAAAGCATCAATGAAATTGCGTGACGCCCAACTCCTCCCAACCTTTCTATTTCTAGACTAACAACACATGACAATAAGCTGTCATATTTAATTCCAAGATGTGTCCACACATACACATGATTAAAATAGCGAAAAAGGTAAACAAGAAATTGAAGCGACTTTTGATTTTGCGCGCCAAAATGCAATTGTCACACACACACACACACACACACATACAGACACAATCAAACAGAGATACAAGCAGATGCTGAGGTGAGATGACAAATTAAACGGTACATGCACAAAATGCCGGCCACATTTTGTTTACATTATTTTTTGTGGGTGACAAAAACTGAATTCTCGCTGCGATAAATTGATCGAAACTTCTGCAAGTTTATTAAGGGTCATCGATAGAAGAAGCAACTAATTTCTAGTTGAATATGAGTTAAATTTACATTTCTCATCAGCATTTGAATCTGATTTTTCTACCAAACACATTTTATTTTTTATAACGCAAGTAGGAATTGTTAATTCAGCGGGGTAGCAAAAAGTGAATGCAGCTGCCTTTTTGGGCAAACAAAAGAAGGGTTGCTCGAGGAAAGTCGGCTATTGCTTAAAGCACCTAAACGAATTAGCGGAACGTGTCATTCCAGCATATGTAGAATTTACAGTAAGGCAACTAGCAACAGTTCATAGCGAGTAATCGTAAGCTCGATCGATAAATTCCCACTGGCATTGCTTGTGTGTGTGTGTGTGTATGTGTGTGTGTGTGTGGGTGGTAGAGGCGCGCAATTCTTCATTTTGTGGGGCATGCGCCACGTGCAGCGGAATTTGCTTAAAATTGAAGCAACTTGTTTTTGCGATTACTTTACTTACATTTTCTTGTTTTATTTTGTATTTTTTTAAAATTTTTTATTTTGTTTTGGTGTGCAGTTAATATCCAAACAATTCGAAGGAATTGTATTTATAGTTGTTGTATGGGGATATCCGAAATTGTGTTTTATTGTTGTTTTTGTTGCGGTTTCCTTATTGCTGTTATTGTGTAGCTTATCGATTTGCTTTGATTTGTTGCTGTCGCTTTGACTTGATTATTATTATTATTTTTGTTGTATGTATATAAATATATAGATTTTTAACAAATACAACACGCAAATTCTAAATTTCTACACAATTGTTAAGTGTGTAACTGTAAAAAAATATAAATATATATATATTATATATATCGAGGCACCAAAGATTGTTGATGCGTGAGAGAACATCAACAAAAAAAAAATGCGCACATGACGTAGCGGCTACGTTATTTATGACGGGACGAACACAACAACGACGACGACGACAGCGACGGTAGCGAACACGGCAAACTACGAGACGTCATTACGTTACGTTAAAAACAGCGGCGGCAAAACAGCGCGATACACTATCGCACACACACACACACACACACTTACATATTCAGGCGCACATGCATAAAGCTACATTACGTTAATGTATTTACGTGCATACACGTAATAATAAAATTTAAAAAAATATGTATATTTGTATTTTTCGATATGCATATATTTTATTTTAAATTATTTTGCTGCTATATACATTTTATACGCGTTTGCGACATTGTGCTTGTTTTTATTGCTTTATTTATATGTATATTTTTCTTAATTTTATTTTGTTAATATTCACTGCCTATTGCTGCTAAGCGCACGTACACACACTTAAACACAGACACACGCTACGATACACACACACACACACACACACACACACACACACACACACACAGCGACAGATAGCTGCTTCTTCTTCTACAGTGCTGGCTGGTTGCGCTGTTCGTTGCCACCACCAAAAAAAAAAAAAAAAAAAAAAGTAAAACGAAAAAAAATTGTCATGTCCATTGAAGTCTCACATTTTCAAATTCATTTTTGGCGCAAAATTCATTGTATTTGTAAAAAGTGTTATTTACAATCACAGCGCGTTACATTTAATTAGCACATTTTGCACAATTTATATAATTTTAGCTAGTTTTTACCACAATTTAAAAGCAATTTCTACACACCGATATACGTACGCGCTACAATTTTCGACATACGCGCGTTTCTTGTGAGTAAAGCAGCCGTCGTTGTCGCCATCAAATATACAAAAATTTTTCGAAATTACTCAAACCGCGAATACACACACACACATACACAGCGAAAGGCGAGCGCACGCGTACACCAAATGCTCTATAGCGGCACTGCTCACATTTAATGCCGATGGGCGTGCGTGCAAGTGCAACCGACATATTAGCGCTGCATTAGCTACGGAGAGCGAGAGAGCGGACACTGTGCATGGGAGACATGTCGAAAAGCGTCTGTGTCGCTCAACGTCCGTTGGTGGTGGCAATGGCAAACGCTTCTGCTCTCGGTGGTGGTGGTGAGTTTTCGATTGTGTATGTGTGTGTGTGTACAAAAGCAACGAGCAGCGCGCATGAAAAAATGCACGATGAACAAACGTAACGAGGAAACAAAATGGCTGTCTCACAATATTTTAATAGCATCGGTTATGTTGTTATACGCCTTTTCTCAGTCTAAGCACCAATGCGCCCCAAATGCCCAAACAACAATCAGGTGAATATCCATTCGGTTTGTTTTGTTTCCGCCGCTTGTACCATTTTTTAGCATTTACATATATTATCTACATTTTAGCATTGACTAGCACATTTTTTCGTGTTCATTTCAGCACGTAGCGACGCGAGTACTATCGATTCGGATTATTAGCGCGATACATCGATATACGTGCGAATTGGCGATAAAAAACAACATAATTAATCGAACAATCGATGTCAACCAGCAACTAACAGAGCATATCAACTTGTGTCATCACAAACCAGCTGCTAACGCACAGCAGCTGTTAGCGTCACAAGTCGATAAGTGCACATCAAGTTGAGACGATAATTATAAGTCAGAGCTTGCGAAAAGGGTAAGTACAAAATTTGTTGCAGATCAAATTAAAACAATGTCCAGTATGTGCAACAAAAAAACATAGAACATCAATAACAATAGCTAGCAGTGATTAAATACAGTACAAAGCACGACGCCATTTCTGCTTGTGGGGGCTAGCGGCGATACATACACGCGTGCGCATGCACACAGACAGACACACACACACGCACACACACACACACACCAATAGAGAGAGAGACAAATATCTATACCAACACAAATAGCACTACAAATACCAATACCAATACCAATACCAATACCAATACGCATTACAGAAGCAGCCGCAGGTCGTCATGCCACGAGGAAAATACGTTAACCACAAAGGCCGCAGCCGCCACTTCACGTCGCCCGAGGAGCTGCAACAGGAGTCGGAGGAGGAGAGCGATCAGTCGACTGGCAGCGAAACTGAGGAGCAGGCCGGCACTGCCGGCACATCGAAACAGCCGGCTGGAACGGGCGGCAGCGCCGCAGCGCGCAAATCAAGCAGGCCGGCCGCACAGCGACAGAAGCAACAGCAGCAGCGTCGCAGCTCATCCGACGAGGAGTCCGACGATGATGACAGCGATGATGATTCGGAGGCGGAAGCGCGTGATGCCAAAAAGGGTGTGGCCGCTCTCATCGAAATCGAGAATCCCAATCGTGTGACCAAAAAGGCCACACAAAAATTATCGCAAATCAAAATTGATGATGCGGCCGGCGGCGGCGGCGGCGTCGGCGGCAGCAGCTCCGGCGGCGGCGGCAGTGGCTCCACCAAGCCAGAGTTGTCCCGTCGCGAACGCGAACAAATTGAGAAGCAGAAGGCGCGACAGCGCTACGAGAAACTGCATGCCGCTGGCAAAACCACCGAGGCGAAGGCGGATCTCGCCCGGCTGGCGCTCATCCGTCAGCAGCGAGAGGAGGCGGCTGCCAAGCGGGAGGCCGATAAGAAATCTGTCGCCGATCTGTCCAAGAAGCCGCTAACCAAGTAGTAAGCCATAGCTGCTGCGTATTAGTTAGTCGGGCCAGACGAACGGGATTATGGCAATCGCATTCAAATAATAGTTCGAATTTTCGTATAATTAACAAATTGTTGCATTTGCGACAACACATTCTAACAACAACAACAACAACAGCAACAACAACAACAGATTGTGAGAAACACGTATGAATATCCTATAAAATGCAATTGCTATACATAATTATGATGTCATATTCAACGTTTCATTTTGCCACTTTCCGCATCCAACAACAACAACAACAACAACAAAAAAAAACAAAAATCTTTTTTCAATTTTTTTTTTTACACTTTAAATCTAACGCAAATCCTTTTGTAATTGAGAATAATATACAAAAAATATATATAATATATATGTATATATTCATATATATATATATATGTATATTGCATATAAAGCATAATAAGCTCCAGTTACAGCTTTTAAGTTCCAATTAGAGTTGGCCGCGTGTCGTGTCTGTCGTGTCTCGACAAGTTCGTGTTCGTGTTCGTGTCCAACTAGAGTTGGTCGCACGAGGAGACGTGTTCGTGCCCGATCAACAAAATGCAATTTAGACAAAATTGAAGCTGAAATTAATATATTACAAATTTTGATAAATATGCAATAAATTGTAGTTATTTATTAACTTTTAAGCAATCGCCCAACATGATGATCACAAGCCGTGCATCTCGTTAAGTTCATAAAACATAAGCACACGAAATATGGAGCAAAAGTATGTAACAAAAAAACAAAAAAAAAACAAAAAATCCAAAATAAACAACAACAAAACGAATCATGCTGGAACAATCTGAGACGCGCTTCTTACTAGGCGCGATCCTCTTCCATACTCAAACCAACATATTGCAATCCTATAGAGAAATAGGGATTTAGTTTTATATCGCTTAGCCCTAGGCTAGTTAAATTTCTTCCAAATGCCTTTTGCTATTCAACAGTCTGTTTTGTTTTTCTCTCAATCTCAGCGATTGTAAGCTACAAAGTTGAATGCAAACACGTTTTCACCAATTTTCCACATGAGCGAGTGGATTTTTACACATTTTAGAGTAAAAATTAATCAAGGTGAAATGTAAAATATAAGAAACATTTTTTTTTTTTTTTGACATTTGGAAAAATAGATTCAATTCGTAACATAATCCTATCAAGATCGATGTACTATAACGTATAGGGACAATCGCTTGGAAATAAAAAGTTTGTCTTGGTGTGTCTGAGAAAGTGCGGCTATTCCCGGCACGCCGAACACTAGATACCCTTATGAACATTTGGCACATTCGACCGATTCGGATAGACTCAACAGATTTAAATACGATATGGTAGTCCGATATTTATATGATTCTGAACATATATATGGAGCATGGCAAAAGACAATTCGTGCCTAGACTCACATATTGCCTATATATTTATATCATTTTTACATAACGCACATTATGCATAATTCCAAACCTTTATATACGGCATATATCATATATCGTATATAGTTTATCGTATATCGTATATAGTAGACATGTATTATCTAGTCAAAAACTTAGCTTAGAACTATGGAGGCGGCGGTTAGACAACGCCCCAGACCTCCTCGAATGCGGTGCACAGCTTGGAGCAGGCAATGGCTGCTGACAAAGGATAGTTGCTAATGGAGAACAGCTCCTCGGTGTAGTCTGTCTTGAGTGCGCCGTGAGCGAAGGCGCCAATGACCATGACAACGGGCTCGTCGTAGGCTTCGCTGCCCTCCGGGCCGTGCGGCACCAGTTCGCGGCAATTGCTGACCAGCTTGCCGGTAAAGGACATTGCATACTTTTTACAACCAACGGGCAAATGATCCGTAATTGGATTCTTGATGACGCTCATCAGGCGGCGCGACGAATCGCTGGCGCGTATTTGAAACTTGTGCAACAGCTGGACCATCAGGCCGGCAAAACGTTTAAATGTGCGCGGTATCCGTGTCTGTGGATTGATCTCGATCAGCACATTGTGCTCGGTGCGGACAAACACCTGCAGCAATCCGGCCCGATTCAGCGGCGAGTCGAACAGCATCAGCAGGCATTGGTGTGTGATGTCCGGGCGGCAGCTGCCCGGATCTCGTTGATTTTTGCGCATTATGCCCGCATGATCGTCACAGTTGAGCAGCTCGAATGTGTTGTGCACCTGTCAAGCAAAAGCATTTGCTGTTAAATTTCCATACAAATTAAATGTACATATATCAAATCGAAAAGGCCGCACACCTTCACTGTTTCCAGCTGCGCGCCCTCGAGCACAATAATCAAGCGTTTCTCGCTGGCATTCAAATGGAGCACCTTGAAGTGCTTTTTGTCCAAATCGAATTCCGGATCGTCCGCTTTGCGGCCCACAAATTTACGTTTGCGATTTATTGTTTTGCCCTGGCCGCCCATTTTTGTTATAGTTTCAACGTTTTCTTTTATATACAAAAACAAAAGCCATGTGCACGCGACGACGGCCGCAATAGAGATGAACCGATAGCAGCTGCCTAACAGATATCGATACCTCGACAGCTGGTGCTGTTAACTCGCTGCAATACAAATTGCAACTAAATTAATCGATAACATTGGCGCAGACAATTTTGTGCTTTGTCATCACTAAACTGAACCTGGCATATTTTGATTGCATTGCCTTTGTTGACAAAGCCGAGGCTTGATTTATTAATATTTAAAACACCAACATTTGACATGGCTGCCGCCCGTCGTGACATAGCGCCGTTCTTGCAACGCGTGCGCGCTTTTCTGCTGGGCGTAAGTATGCAGCAGCAGTTGCTCTGCAATTTGTCCATTTTTCCGCGCACGTTATGTAAGCCCCGGACATTTTCTTTGGGCTTTTCTTTATTTTTTCTTCCTCTTATAGCGCGAACATACCGTTGCGCTGCGCTTTGAGGATGGCCTGGCCGATCGCACACAGCCCCAGCCAGAGCTACCGGATGGCCCCTCGCACATCCTATCGGCCAATTACTATTGCACGCGCGATGGACGCCACGAGGTGCAGCCGCCCATTGACCTGGTGCAGCAGCACAAACTGATCGATGCAGCAGCCGATGCAGCTCCCAAGGCTAAGGCCAAGCTGCCCACACCCGGCAAGGTCTATGCCTGGGACTGAAGCACTGAGCGGATCAACTGTGGAAACCGCAATCTGTGTTTAATTTAATTTTTTTTTTTTTTCTTGGAGGAAGCCCCTCAAATAGAGACATTGTTAAACCATGGAGCATTTTGCACTTACTAACCAGGGGAGGAGGCCAGCATAAGGCTCACACAGTAATGTCTCGCTAAGCAGAACTTACGCAAATTGTTGCTATACCATATTTAGGTAATAGTTGTTAACGAATAGGATAACTCTCGTAAACCCTTACCGAGGGTATTCTGAGTTGTGCCTGCAACAGGAGATGTCTCCGTCTCTATATAGTGTATATACTATTTATAGTATTAGTCGCTTAAATAGTCTGCTTCTATCTTCTAAACTGGTCAATTTAATGGCAACTATATGATGTAGTCGCCAGATCAGGCCGGCTAAGAGTTTGCATAGAGACTTGCAGACGCATAGTCGGACCTGCCTAAATCTACTGGAATATCAGAACTGATAAGGAATATATATATATGTATATATATGTACTTGATGGTGCTGGATACGTCACCTTCTATGCATTCCGTAGGGTATGATATTGGCCTATGGTAATAAGTTAGTTAAAAATCGACTATGGAAACAGAAATTGGAACTCATCGCTTATTAAAATGAAGCCTGTAAGCGGCCAGTTCTCATCCGCGAGTGACTACTGTTCTGTTTTTATACCCTTGCAGAGGGTACTCTAATTTTGTCGTGGAATGTGTAACGCATAGAAGAAGACATCTCCGACCCCATAAAGTACACATATTCTTGATCAGTATCAAAAGACGAGTCGATATAGCCATGCGAACTAGTCCCTCAGTTTTAAAGCAATCTTTGTGAAACTGTACAGAAGTCCCTCATTTTGCTGCACACAGTACATATGTCGGAACCAGCAGCATCCGACCACTATATCATATAGCTGCCATAGGAACGATTTGCCGAAAAGTAGGTTCTTGTATGAACAACTTTTTTGCTTTCCAAGATATCTTAACCAAACTCGGCATTTATTAGTTTTACTATGCTCCTCATATATATGCAAAATCCTATCAATATCAGAGCAATATATCTAATAGCTGCCATAGGAACGATCGGTCGAAAAGTAAGTTCTTGTATGAAAAACTTTTTTGTTTTTCAAGATATCTTAACCAAACTCGGCATTTATTAGTTTTACTATGCTCCTCATATGTATGCAAAATTCTACCAACATCAGAGCAATATATCATATAGCTGCCATAGGAACGATTTGTCGAAAAGTAGGTTCTTATATGAAAAACTTTTTTGTTTTTCAAGATATCTTAACTAAATTCGGCATTTATTAGTTTTACTATGCTCCTCATATATATGCAAAATCCTATCAACATCAGAGCAATGTATCATATAGCTGCCATAGGATGGATCGGTCGAAAAGTAGGTTCCTGTATGAACAACTCTTTTGCTTTTCAAGATATCTTAACCAAACTCGGCATTTATTAGTTTTACTATGCTCCTCATATATATGCAAAATCCTATCAACATCAGAGCAATGTATCATATAGCTGCCATAGGATGGATCGGTCGAAAAGTAGGTTCCTGTATGAACAACTCTTTTGCTTTTCAAGATATCTTAACCATAATCAGCAGTTGTAAGTTTTACTATGCTCCTCATATATATGCAAAATTCTACCAACATCAGAGCAATATATCATATAGCTGCCATAGGAACGATTTGTCGCAAAGTAGGTTCTTGTATGAAAAACTTTTTGCTTTTCAAGATATCTTATCCATAATCAGCAGTTGTAAGTTTTACTATGCTCCTCATATATATGCAATATCCTATCGACGTCAGAGCAATATATCTAATAGCTGTCATAGGAACGATTTGTCGAAAAGTAGGTTCTTGTATGAAAAACTTTTTGCTTTTCAAGATATCTTAACCAAACTCGGCATTTATTAGTTTTACTATGCTCCTCATATATATGCAAAATCCTATCAACATCAGAGCAATGTATCATATAGCTGCCATAGGAACGATCGGTCGAAAAGTAGGTTCCTGTATGAAAAACTTTTTTGCTTTTCAAGATATCTTAACCAAACTCGGCATTTACTAGTTTTATTATGCTCCTCATATATATGCGAAATCCTATCAATCTCAGAGCAATATATCTAATAGCTGCCATAGGAACGATCGGTCGAAAAGTAGGTTCCTGTATGAAAAACTTTTTTGCTTTCCAAGATATCTTAACCAAACTCGGCATTTACTAGTTTTATTATGCTCCTCATATATATGCGAAATCCTATCAATCTCAGAGCAATATATCTAATAGCTGCCATAGGAACGATTTGTCGAAAAGTAGGTTCTTGTATGAAAAACTTTTTGTTTTTCAAGATATCTTAACCAAACTCGGCATTTATTAGTTTTACTATGCCCCTCATATATATGCAAAATCCTATCAACAGCAGAGCAATGTATCATATAGCTGCCATAGGATGGATCGGTCGAAAAGTAGGTTCCTGTATGAACAACTTTTTTGCTTTTCAAGATATCTTAACCAAACTCGGCATTTATTAGTTTTACTATGCTCCTCATATGTATGCAAAATTCTACCAACATCAGAGCAATATATCATATAGCTGCCATAGGAACGATTTGTCGAAAAGTAGGTTCTTATATGAAAAACTTTTTTGTTTTTCAAGATATCTTAACTAAATTCGGCATTTATTAGTTTTACTATGCTCCTCATATATATGCAAAATCCTATCAACATCAGAGCAATATATCATATAGCTGCCATAGGATGGATCGGTCGAAAAGTAGGTTCCTGTATGAACAACTCTTTTGCTTTTCAAGATATCTTAACCAAACTCGGCATTTATTAGTTTTACTATGCTCCTCATATATATGCAAAATCCTATCAACATCAGAGCAATATATCATATAGCTGCCATAGGATGGATCGGTCGAAAAGTAGGTTCCTGTATGAACAACTCTTTTGCTTTTCAAGATATCTTAACCATAATCAGCAGTTGTAAGTTTTACTATGCTCCTCATATATATGCAAAATTCTACCAACATCAGAGCAATATATCATATAGCTGCCATAGGAACGATTTGTCGCAAAGTAGGTTCTTATATGAAAAACTTTTTGCTTTTCAAGATATCTTATCCATAATCAGCAGTTGTAAGTTTTACTATGCTCCTCATATATATGCAATATCCTATCGACGTCAGAGCAATATATCTAATAGCTGTCATAGGAACGATTTGTCGAAAAGTAGGTTCTTGTATGAAAAACTTTTTGCTTTTCAAGATATCTTAACCAAACTCGGCATTTATTAGTTTTACTATGCTCCTCATATATATGCAAAGTCCTATCAACATCAGAGCAATGTATCATATAGCTGCCATAGGAACGATCGGTCGAAAAGTAGGTTCCTGTATGAAAAACTTTTTTGCTTTTCAAGATATCTTAACCAAACTCAGCAGTTGTAAGTTTTACTATGCTCCTCATATATATGCAAAATCCTATCAATCTCAGAGCAATATATCTAATAGCTGCCATAGGAACGATCGGTCGAAAAGTAGGTTCCTGTATGAAAAACTTTTTTGCTTTCCAAGATATCTTAACCAAACTCGGCATTTACTAGTTTTATTATGCTCCTCATATATATGCGAAATCCTATCAATCTCAGAGCAATATATCTAATAGCTGCCATAGGAACGATTTGTCGAAAAGTAGGTTCTTGTATGAAAAACTTTTTGTTTTTCAAGATATCTTAACCAAACTCGGCATTTATTAGTTTTACTATGCCCCTCATATATATGCAAAATCCTATCAACAGCAGAGCAATGTATCATATAGCTGCCATAGGATGGATCGGTCGAAAAGTAGGTTCCTGTATGAAAAACTTTTTTGCTTATTAAGATATCTCAACCAAACTCGGCATTTATTAGTTTTACTGTGCTCCTCATATATATGCAAAATCCTATCAACGTCAGAGCAATGTATCATACAGCTGCCATAGGATGGATTTGTCGAAAAGTAGGTTCCTGTATGAAAAACTTTTTTGTTTTTCAAGATATCTTAACTAAACTCAGCATTAACTACTTTCCCTGTGCTTCTTAGATACGAAGCACAATGAGCATTATGAAAAGGTTGCGTCTGCAAGGGTATTAAATCTTCGCTGTGTGCACATCGTTAGTTGAGAGATGGCCTTTTAAGTATAGCTCGGAGATTATAGTAGCTATTTCTAGTTGAGTATGCACATGCATATCAAGTTTATTGCACATTTTGAATGCCACGCCCTGTTTCGCCCAAAATTGAAAAGAAAATCTCATGTTGAACAGCTAAAGATGTGTTTAAA